ATCGGATACGTGCACCCTTCACATTTTGTTCAGTAATGTTCCACGAGCGTCGACACCAGGGTACGACAGATTCGAATACATAGTGTTCATGTGATGTCACTTCCACCGTTGTCGCCCTATCCCGCCATGCCTAGGTACCTACAGCAGTTCGCGTGCTGCAGCGCAGTTTGTTCGGGGCTCGTCATCTGTTGCTGTTTACGATGTTGAAAGGGATGCATTGTGGTTTTTTGTTGTCGTATTTCAATGAGCTCATCGGATCAGGAAGGCCTCATTTGTTCATTCGATACAAGACCAGAAAATCAAGATGTGCGACACGTATACCACCAGCCACCGCGTACACTGGCTGCCCTACACGACCTACGAGGGCCCATTATCTCGCTTTCACTACAAACACCACAAATCGCGTGGCCCAAGAACAAGTGAAAGCCCAAAGTCTCTCGAGCCGCAATTTTAAAAATGGATGAGCGAAGTGCAGCAGCTCCCATCGAAAACGCGTCGTGCAGAGCTAGGCAAGTTTACAAGAGATATAATATTAATATATTGCTGCGGCCCACGTCACCAAAGTAGCAGCGACCCCCCGTTCACGTCCCCCCAAGTGTTTTAAACAGTGCTGATGTTGAGCCTATTTGATTGAAATTTGTGGAAACAGCCGAGAAAAATACTATGCGAGGCAGATAGAGACTTCGCGTGGTGCATGCCGCGGTAATGCCGGCCATCACTTTTTTTTACGCGCAAGTTTTGACACCTTTTTCACCTTGTATTTTACTTTTTTTGTACGCTAATGTACAGTGCAGTCCCTGAAAATGATGGAGACCGTGTTACAGAATTAATTGACCAACTTTTCAAAATCCTGACCCCCCAACTCTAACCGATCGGCTATACTTCAAAGTGAACTAATACTGTTTCACATCCATTTTTTCACAGTTTGTTTCAATGCAATACCCAAATTTCCACGATCGCCATCATGATTTTAACCGCCTCCCTGACAGACTGATTGTGCACGCAGTGGTCGCGGACAAGTTTGTATGTACATCAGTATCTTGGTAAGCTATCTCTGTTTGCAGGTAAGTGCTTGGCTATAGAGCACTTACCCGGAATGAAGTGACACCTGAAGACGCAAATATCACAGAGTTTCTTCAAGTAGTTTTTTGTTAATCCATGCCAGCCAAACATGCTGGTACTTTTCGGAAAATCGCAATAAGCGTTCTAAATTTTGGGTAATAACTTTCGGCGAAGAAACACCCTGAAGCTCTGCTCCCTCTTCGGGGACTACTAAATCAACTTGCCTCACTAGCAGCCCTCAAACTTGCATCGTGAGGCAAAACTAAATGGGCGCAAGCACGAGGAGACAACACGGCAGCGGTAGGCGACAGAGTCGGTAGGTACCGGGCATGTCGGTGGCGCATTTCGGAAGTGACAAAGGTGCGCTGCGTGACCCACGTGCACACTATCTATACGGGTTGGAAGCCGCGTACGTGCGGGAAGGGGGGGGGGGTATTACATAAGAAGAGGGGGACATGAAATCTGCCCCACGCTTTCCTCCCCGCTGATTGAAAACCCTGCACTCTCTGGTGCAGGCCCATAGCCAGGATTATTTTTCAGAATGCGCGATTATACTTTCTAAAGGCTTGCGAAAAACGCCTATTAATCTTCTTCATTTATGTTCGCTAAAACACTCTCTTCCATCAAAAAATTTCAAAATGAGAGCCCCCCCCCCCCCCCCTCGATCCCTGACTACAGGCCTGCGCCCTTAACTAGAAACGATATGAACGATGCGAACAATGCTGGTCGCTCCACGGAGTGCAGTCTGTCGCTTCAAGGAGAAGTGGGAGAGCACGGCGCGCGCAAAGGTGTGAGGCGTCACCCATACCTCTACTGATTTATGGCGCTCACCGCCGCGAGCAACCGTGCCCCTTTAAAGTCAAAGTAAGCATTTCATTCCACAGGCCTCATTTTCGAGATTCCATGGGAAGGAAATATCTGACGTCTGGTATTCACGTGGTTTATGAGAGCAAACATGGGGGTCACTTATCAGGTTCTCTATAGGATAAGGTTCTCTATAAGGTGCGAGGCGTCACCCATACCTCTACTGATTTACGGCGCTCACCGCCGCGAGCAACCGTGCCCCTTTAAAGTCAAAGTAAGCATTTCATTCCACAGGCCTCATTTTCGAGATTCCATGGGAAGGAAATATCTGACGTCTAGTATTCACGTGGTTTATGAGAGCAAACATGGGGGTCACTTATCAGGTTCTCTATAGGATAAACACAAGGTATAACCAAGTGCCTTCGTTACTTTGCAGCGTGTATTGTCTGCTTCATTGATTTATGTTTGTTTACTCTGGTTAAGTACTGCCCATAACCGTTCATTGAACTGTTACTTGAACATTTGTATAGTGATGTAAAATCAGCAATGAGTAAGGTAAAGGCACTAGATAGTGTGGCAGGGCCGTAACTGGAGGGTGTTGAGAGGTTCTGGCCACCCATAAAATGTTTTCATGCTTTAACTTTCCGTATGATACCAACGTATTTAGACGCCTTCACATCAACCACCAGTCGCGAACATCAACTAGTCTACACATCAACAATCCCTGAAAAAAGTTCCTGGATACAGCCCTGTAGTGTGTGGATGGGCGACTTTATTAAACGCAAGAAGCAGGCTGGCGACCAGGCAGCGGGAAATAATGGCATCAGGGCAGTCTGCATTGAAGCGACAGACAGCACTGAAGTCACTTCGCTTGTTGCAGTGGCCGCGTTTCCTTATGTCGGCGTTTTGTTGAGTTCAGCCACGTTGAATGCTATAGCCTAGCTTCCTCCGTATAACATTATCACATTTATTACTACACTCTTGGGGCGAAACTGACTTCAGTGCACAGCACTTCAGGAGACCGGCTTGTGCATTCATAGGTTACATGTGGCGTGACCACGCTCAAAGTCAAGTGGTCGATATATGCTTATAACCATGCTGAAATCCAGGATACAACAAACAAAGTTCTAAGATAATATAATTTATCTAAGTATTCAAGAAGTAATCATAACAATGAGCTTGGCTAAACACTCTTTGGAAACATATGGCTGACTGCAACACGCAAGAGAGGGCACCACCACCTCGCCGAGCTTACAATAGGTGGATAGCAAAATCGCGGCTCACGCAAGGGATTGTGGGCCACATTTGATTATACAACAGCTGTCGCCTTGAAATTCCCCTTTGCTGTCAATGGGAAAGTTCAAACATTTTTTTCTTCCCCAAAGCAAAAAATGTAATGATAAGATTTACCATACAAAAAAAGCTGTTTATTTGCTTTCGATTTAAGTATAAAGGTAATTTTTAATTGGACCACCACATGGTGTTAACTGCATCTCAATATGAACAAAAAAAGACGATTTTGTGAAATTCGTGAATTTCTTTCGTGAAGTTTGGCAGCTTTAGAGGTCTAAAAATATTATTTGCCTCAAAATATACCTTGTGTCGAGTAAGTATTCACTTCTCAGATATTCATACAAGGTGCAGTATTGCAATAAAAAAAATGGAAACATAACACATTTTGGCTGACTTCTTGAAGGCATATGTGCCAGTAATATTACAGTAATATTACTGAGCTTCAAACACCTTACACAAGCACTTTTACACAATATGCAGACCAAATTTGGTATAGAAAAAAGAAGCGGTACATTTAAAATAAATTTTTTCACAAACAACGACCAATCGACATTGACTGATACAAGGGGTTTGACATTCCAAAACGACCATATGATTATGAGACACCAAAGTGGAGGACTCCGAAAATTTCAACCACCTGGGGTTCTTTAACATGCACCCAAATCTGAGCACATGGGCCTACAGCATTTTCGCCTCTATCAAAAATGCAACGGTCGCAGCCGGGATTCGATACCGCGACCTGCGGGTCAGGAGTAGAGTACCTTAGCCACTAGACCATTGTGGCGGGGCATCCAAACGACATTCCAGGAAGTGCAGGCAGGAGTTCCAGGCAGCCACATTAAACAAAAAAAAAGTTTTCTCTCAGAAATATACTAGCTCTTCACTGTTTTAAGTGAAGCAAATCAGCACAATTTTTTTTTTTTTTTTCAAATACATTAGAGATGATCGCCAAAATGACTGGCATCTTTGGCATAGAATGACCCAATAAGAAATTGAAAATGCCAACAGTAAAAAAAAAAGATTGTGCTACGAAGCCCAAAGTGTGCAGAACATTAAAGAAAGGTTTAATGCACAGCTGATTTATGTTCGAATTTTTTTTTTTTGTTGGTTGATAATCTTAAAACTAGATCATTCCTTCATAAAACATCCAGCATGCCACAACTAACGCTTATAATGTCAGACTTGAAAATAATGCCAAGCATATCATAACCAATAACTATTACAAAGTTGCCATTTCAATGAATATGTTACATGAACAGATTAAATGTATTATCACTCCTATATGTACACTTCTATGTATATCAAAGTTGGCAAATGCTACCATCCTAGCAAGCAAATAGTCATTACAAGAGAAGCCCGAAAAAAGCTTATAAGAATAAAAAATTCTGTTAATTTTCCCATCCCTGAAAATATTTCAAATATAACAAAAAATGTCACCCAAATTCAAACGGGAGTTCAAAAAGTCTATTTTATACAGTGACAATATGTGCACCAATGATTGAAAGTATATATTTAGTTTTTAATATTGCTTCCAGGGTAGTCTATTTGGCTGAATGCACATTGACCATAAGTTACTTGTTGATTTCCCAAATGTATGCTTGACTTCAAAATTCAACTACACAAAGTCATCGACAAAAGCGCTATACCAGTGAACGTCAAACGTGCTATTGGTGAACGTGATGATCTATAAAAGAACTATTTGCTGGAAAAATGCAATGAGCCCCAAAAATGCAACAAGCGGCTGGAGAGTTCTACAAGTGACTTGGTGAAAACAGAAGCTCAAATCCACTCATTATAGACGAAACTGTCAACTCTGACGTATACATGGACGCTGACACTTCTATTTGTTTTAAACTTTATTTTCAAAAGACACTCTCAAGAAATTCTCAAGAAATTTCTTGAGAGATTGCTGCAAGAAGTTGCTCCATGTCAGGCACACATATGAGCTTATGGATTACGGGTCCAAGAACAGAGAAATGAGCCTCTCCATGTCCAAGTCTCACGGATGTAAGCTCTTGATGAAAAGATAAATGGGTGCCTGTGTCTACTGATAATGACACAGTACCCAGAACCAAGCGTACACGCCCGGATTTCATCACCTGTATCTTGCCAACGTATCCTTCAGGAAAATCACTCAGCTTGACGAGGCGCTTATGTGACTGCTCTTCCTCCTGCATGTGGACCAGGAGAATTAATTAACACTGTTTCGCCAACATTATAATCGCAGTAAATTAGAGGCAAGAGGAGTCGCTATGTCTAAAAACACATACGCACAAATCAGTTGTTTTGGCAATAACAGCTTGAAAGTACTAAAATTGACTGTTCAATACAAAACCACAATTTTTAATGGTGAAATGGGCCTTGAAGGTTCACAAACACTTCAGTAGACTTATCTAACAGCAAAATCGGGTGCCTTTCAGTGCACCAGCCGAAATTATACATTAGCACATATAAAACTTGCAGCTGGATTTGTGCGTAAGAATGTCTTTAAACAGTGTAAAATGTATTTGTACATGGCAGTCCACTGTTAAAGGGACACCAAAAAGAAAACTATACTCGTATCAGTAAATTACTCATTTACGATAACACAATCACCGCTCTTGTGACGAAATGATACATGGTCAGCGAGAAAAGCACAAAAAAATGGAGATGGTAGCACCATATTAATGTTCTAGCACCGATCGCCGTCATGTCAGTGATATTAGAGGAGTCTACGAGTCCATAGATAATTAATAATCAGTAAAAATGTAGTTCATTGTCCTTTGAGGTGGCTAGAGACGTAGCATACAAAGTTTCAGGCAATTTTATAAGCCAATGTCGCCGAAATACCAAAACCACTAAGAATTTGGAGATGATATTTCAATAAGAAATTAAATAAGGTGACCTTGATTTTCTCTTCTACTAGTAAACCTATGGAGGTGAAGTTAATGACAGCAGGATTTTCATACTATAACAATGAGTCTAAACTTATACATTGTTTGTCTTTAATGTTCCTTTACAGGGAACGACAGACTGTGAGGCAGCCGCTCGGTGCCACCCCTGACCAGCAGCTGCAAAAAGTTTTGCTCTCGATGAAAAGATAAATGGGTGCACTGCTTTTTGTTCCCTGCTACCGTACGTTCCGACATGTTGACTTATTGTGAAGCGAACTGTTCACATGAGGAAAAAGCATCATAGTCTGGGCTCCCTGCGTCTACATAAAACTCACAGCAGCCGCCGGCCAGCAGTGGCACTTCATGGCCATTTTCTACTTTAATGTTCCTTTTAACAGTGCAACGCTCAATACTTAAAACTTATTATGTCACTACTGTAAAAAACTAGATTAATCTCCAACGCCAAAAATAGGCAGACTTCACAGTATTGCATATCCATGAAACAAAAATCATGCTGTGAATAATTTCCGCAACAACAGTGGCGCGACATAATTTATCATTCTATAAAAATCCCTGTAACACACTGTGCACCAGTAATGATAAAGTCAATCCCAGATGTATCGAACTTGGATATATAGAATTATTGGCTATATCGAACAATTGAGAAATCCCCTTGAAGTATGGGACTGGTGCACACTTATAGTGAACTCCCACATCGCAGAACATCTGCTATATCGAACGCTGAGCCCCGCCAAAGCCCAGAAATTGCATTTTTGCCAACACACAGTGATAATCTTTCGGCCGAATTCAAACAAGTTCCGATCTCTTTTCCCCCGCAGGTGTCGAAAAGGCGGTGTGGAAAAGCGAAAAGGGGAAACTCCATCGCACTGATCTATCTTGTTGTGCAGTGATTGTGAATGCACCGGTCTGCTTGATGCGCGACCTGCAGATTTTAATGTGCAATCAGCCATCTCGGTGCCTTGTTCGCATTACCTCGTGAACGATGCTATGCGGAACCAAAAAGCATGGCCTTGAAGATGTGCAAACTCGTGACATATTTCGGTGTTTTCGGTTTTAAAACGCATATCTCAGAGGCTAGTTTTTTTTTTTTTTTTTTCACCAATGCAGAGGATGCCTGCTACAGTACGACAGTCACAAGTGGCACTGCTATCCCCAACATGTCGACAGTGGGAGCTTGCTCGTTTATTGCTTGTGGGCAGCATGCAGCGTTGTCTTTTGCAGCTTGTCGACTTGTGTACCTCTTGCCTCGTTCCTGATCTATTATCATTTGGGAGTCGGAACTGAACGCTGATCGTTCGTAGCAATAAAAATTATGACTGGTGCTATGAGCTATATCAAGTAAAGCACCATCATAGGCAGTTTCCTTGCGGGCTTTGTTGCAGGTGACGACTTCGGATGCGCCATGACTGCTGACAACAGCGTGCGAGACCTTGTTACATTCTATGGCTTGTTAGCGTTTCTGGGCACCATTTCGGACAGTGAGCGGTTTCTTTGGCATAGATGACGGCACTGCTCTTTTTGACTGCATCATCTTTCATTACCCCAACGTTGCCAAGCTGCGGAAGTGTGTTGCCTCTGCCACTGATCAACATTTTAACTCTGTACGGAGCTTGCACTGGCGTTCAGCATCAATTAACGCTGTTGTGGCCGAATGAGCTGAATTTTCTAATTTGTAAAGCTTCCATGATATTGAGGATGACTGGAAATTCATGGCGTGCAAAATGCGAGACAAGTTTACGAACTACAGTCGACATCAGATTTGTCAGACAAGTTCCCCATAGAGTCAATGTATTATAACGTTCGAAATGTTGGACACTTATAGCTTTCATCATCCAATTTTACAGACTCTTTACCGTTAACTGCAGGCTTGATGTCAATGGTAACACCCCCACTTTGATTGTTTTTGTATTCTCGAATCCACCATGCTCACATCGTAGGTGTGACCAGCAGCACAACACTAGCTACCATAACCACACTGCGACTGCCAAACCCTCCAAAACCAAAAATGCCACAATCCGTTCCTAGCCGTAACTTAATCAAAGCTCACTGTATTCATTCACACGTTGTACTGTCACCTCTGTGATAAATTGTGTGCGGCTGTGTGCTATCTTCAGCATTCACGTTTTTGGATCTTCAGCATCCACCGAGTTTCTTGCTGTTTGGCGCTGCGCTTGAATTCGCCGAGAGAACCATCCCACTTAGAGTGGACAGGATAAGTAACGAACTTCTGTCCGCTTTGCCTTGGACGATATGGGCGCTGCGGTGCTTTGATTTCAGCCAGGATAACCTTTGAGGGTTTTGCCAACACTGACAAAGACCTCAAGCTGTGTGCGGAATCGACAGATAGCAAAATCATTCGTCAAGTTACGTAGGATTGCGACGACTTCAACAGTGACATCGAAGAAGCAGCGCCTACACAACCAACGAGCTCAGAGTTGACATGAGCACTGATGACACTGTCATCCTTACACAGCGACAGCATGACGTTAGTCGAGATTGAGGCAGATCTCATCACGGGCAAGCTGAATGCAGTGCAAATGAAAATAAGCGACTTTTTTGGGCGAAAGTGTTGATTTCTTCTTTTTTTTTTTTTATAAACGGCTCTTTTATCTTAGAGCTGCCTAAAATGCATTCACAAGATTGCAGCAAGTATTTTTTCCTGCCATGACACTCTCTATCAGCGAAAAATACCTGTAAAAAAGTCAAGTGCATTCATTTTTTCGGAATGCTCAATTTTCCAGACGTTTTTGTGGTTCCTTGAGGGCAGAGTCCCCAGGTGTCGCCGAGCAAACAAGCAAACAGTCCCCCCAAAACAAACGCCAAAAAACGGCAGTGCTTCCCTAATTAAGCCCAAATAAAGTGGAAGCTAAACAAATCTTCCTATTTTTGAAAATTGTGCTGTAGTAAAAAAAATACTACAAATACATCTCAAAGGTGTACAAACATATATTATTGCATAATGAGAATAGATGCATGAATAAACGCGAGAATTTTTCTAGCCTTACACATAGTTACTGTCACTGACATCTGGCCAATCAGAATAATCCATGGCATCCACGTCCATGAAACATGTTCCTTGCATTGAATAGTTCCATCATTTTTGTGGTTTGTTGAAAGTCTCGGCAGCAAACTCCATGAAACCATGGTCTCCAAGATGGTGGGCACGCAGCGTGTTTCTCTCCGACCGTCCCAATTGCCGCGCTCCCCAGCAAAACAAAAGGGTATCGCCTCGAGCGCCCAGCTACCATGAGAGGGTGTGGATTCCGGCGGCAGCAGAGACCGCGGAAGACAGCAAAGCGCACGGGATTCCAGCATGCGCATGGTTTCTTTTACCGCATACGAGCGAAAATCCCCACCAGAATCTTCTGGCTGAACCAAAAAAGCTTTTTTTTCTTTTTTTGTTATTGTATTTATTTTGGTCAGTGCAAATTGTCACTGCTGTGTTTTATACCAGGTACATCGAACTCTGAACGCGTGTTGCATAATTCTTGAACAAGCAAAACATTTCAATGTTCGTTTTTATGTTGCCCAACATATACATTGAACACCGTAAAATTCACCGCGCAAATGGGCGACCGTAAGTGACCAAAACGTGCCTGTAACCAGCCCGTGGTCGTTGCAGAAGCAGCGACGTTCAGTCTAGACATAGTCTAGATAGTCTAGAAGCGTATCACTCGCCTCTACCCTCCTTCCTGTATAATGCTACGGCGGCTCGACGAGATGATTCTTGAAACTGGGTTACAATTAAAAGCAGCGCTAGTTCTATGAAAATAAAGAAAATAGAAATCATTAATTTGATTGAATGTAACTCCTGAGCGTAGAGCGCAGCACTCTTCTGACTTCGCTAGTTGATTGGGCTGTCTTTTTTTTTTTCTTTGCCGTGCCCTACATTCTATACAGCCTGCAAATGTAAGTTTCCAGCACATCTGCATCTTTTGCAGAGGCATCGCAATTGTGCTTTAATATGGGTGGCGCAAATCTACAGTTGATTGATTGATTTGTGGGGTTTAACGTCCGAAAACCACCATATGATTATGAGAGACGCCGTGGTGGAGGGCTCCGGAAATTTTGACCAACTGGGGTTCTTTAACGTACACCCAAATCTGAGCACACGAGCCTACAACATTTACGCCTCCATCAGAAATGCAGCCCCCGCAGCCGGAATTCGAACACGCGACCTGCGGGTCAGCAGTCGAGTACCTTAGCCACTAGACCACCACGGCAAGGCGCAAATCTACAACAAAGTCCATTTTAAAATATATATGCCCAAGCATTGA